AGGCGTTGTTGACAAAATCAACCTGCACATCTGTGATTGCTGGAACGGACCCGACTCCAACCTCAGACAGGTCCGACGTTACACTTCCTGCTTTAGCAACAACGCCACCCACAGTTCCCAATAAACGGCTGTTTACAGCAGCCATTGCTGTACGGCAGGAAAAATCAGCTATCTTTTGAAGTGGTGTCGTCTAGGCGCTTTCCCATCACTTCACCCACTCCTTTCTTTCCGTCGCCTACCCCTTTGCGTTTTCACTTATCTCTCTCACTCCCCCCAGGGATCCCTGGCCTCTCTACCTATGCCCTCACAAGACGGCACTTACACGCTCGGTCTCTTAATCATCCTCTGCTCAACCTTTCATCCTGATCTGACCCACGGTTGCTTAAGGCACTCCGCTTCCTGTCGTCTAACCAGCCGACTCCTTCCTCCGCCTCACCTCATTTGTCCATCAGAGGGGGGAGACTTTGATCTTTTATAGTGGAAAAGAAATCCCATCAGATGAAACACTATTTTTTCTTCTTTTACCCTAACTGTACTTTATTGCTATTTGAATGCAACTTATATAAAACTGAGGTACAATCATTAATGCACTGACCGATACCTTCAGTACTTTATTTACCAACAACTTCTTGATTTTCTTTATTTACATACAACTGAGAGCTAACGATGCAGGGATGTTCAGGAGGTTTGTTTAGAAGTACGCATTACTCCCATAAAATAAATTTGTTGAGTCCATGATTAATTTATAAATCACATGTCGTGACTAAAACCAGGATTGTGCATGTTTGTATAATGAGCATTTATTATCCCCCACCATGGAATACAGACAATCATGCAATTGCTTGTATCTGTGTGCATGTGTGTTAGTAAAAGTTCTCATGGACCACTGGACACATTTTAATAGAAGTCTCAGGAAATATTTTGTACATCTACAACCGCTTAGATTTCGATTAACTCAATTCACGATGATCGCCACAGTCAGATGTTAGAAAACACAAAAAATGGCTACAATTCAGTTTATTTGACAGATATTTTAGTCAAACCTGGTGTGGTAGCAGCTGGGATTCATCTTCAACACATACCCCAAGTGCTACACAAAGTAATATTATCTTAAAACAAGAAACAACTTTAAGAGTCAATCCTTGGACGTACCTCTTCAACTGACCTTTGGAGTCGCCCAAAAACAAAATGGTCCCAAGAGGTATAAATAAAAGTAACAGATAAAAGCAAAGACACAAAAGGAGAGATAGCTCCATCAAATTACATACACGGTCTGTCCTGGTGGCAGCTGAAAGTCATCAACATTTCTTGTAATATTGCACAAGATTATGCTCAACATTATTTTGATGGTTGATCTAAAAACATCTTCAACTTCTTCCCTCGTCATCATAAGATCATAGTTTCAAACTTGCACGGCATGAAAGGTGGTGGGTGATATGCATATCTTCAAGGAACACAATGTCTTAAATTGACCTTCTTGCAGATACCGATGATCATGCTTAAAGTTGGTATATTGCAATGCATTGTTGTCTAGATATATTTATACCTACTTCCGGTTTGTTGAAATATATTTAATCTAAACAATGTCCATTCATATCATTAATGTTCATGCTCAATAATCCAGGTAAAGAATCCAACCATGTCCAGTCAGGTCAACGCTAACCTTGTTCATATCCACGTGTGTTTTAGCTGCTCTGCAGTTATTCTTTCACCTGGAAACATTTATTCTCAACCTTAAATACCAGTAAAACTGGTTTATAAATAAGTTTGTAAACACAATGGCGAAGATTCTCAGTCATCCAGAACATGGAAAATTAAAACAAAGTTCAAGACAAAAAACAACTGAACTTTATTTGTAACAGAAGACGTTTTGCTTCTCATCCAAGGAGCTTTATCAACTCAAAGAACAGAGAGTGTGGGGTTCAAGTTATTAAAGCTGAGGTAAGCTAGATACATGTGCAGATTGTCCTGTCAATCCTCACAATAGGGGTTCATAAGGGTCTTTGTTAGTTTGACTCAGAGGAGCCACTTTGGTCACACGGATGCAATTCCCGATAGGAGTGAAAATGACTGGGCATTAGGACTAAAGCTGCATTGTAAGTTTTAGAAAGTTGAAATCTGAGACCTCCTCTTTTGTTTAAAGATGGTCTCTCTTTTTTACATATATTGCTTCCTTCACCCACCTCTCAAACCAACCAACAAGTCTTGTCCTGAGGAGCTCACCTGTGTTGAGCCATGCGTCTGTGGAGAAGCAGTTTGGTTTCTCCAACATAGAGATCTGGACTGGAGCTGTGTATATAGAAGTGTACAGTTGTCCCTCGCAACTTCATGGTTAGTTTATTGCGTACTCGCTCCATCGCGGTTTGTCAAAATAAGATTGGACATGACTAACAATTGGCTGATTGATGTAGTGAACTTAACCTGATGTCAAAACTAAGCCTAAGGTCAAAACCCTTGACCTTAAGAACCTTGTGGGACAGAAACTGTCATTTCATTGATTTGAATCCAGAAATACAGGTTCACCCATCCTGAGACTTTCTTTCTTGAAAATTCAAGTGAAAGAACACTCTCTTTTCTATTATCATTCCTGTTTTACAAATGTTTGATAATCAAAGTGTTTTAGTTCAAACATTTTAGATGTTACAGTGAACTAATCAATTTTATTAACTGTAAAACAGTAACAATGATTTTTTAGTTCCTCATGCAAAGTTAGAATTCATGTTAAGGCCTGTTACAGAGTAATCATGCATTTTCTGATTTCTGTCTTTGAATGAGCAAGTGTGCGTTTTCCAAGGTCAGGAGTCGAAGCAGACATGTTGTTGGAACAACTGTCTTGTTTACATCCTCTCAGACGTCAACAGAGAAGTTGGCACCTGTTTCTCCAAACTCGCCAAAACAAAACTCTCTGTCTCTGAGAACAGTTTTAATCTGTTCCATAACAATTCTTGCTGTTTTCTGACTTCTAGTAACCTCTTACGTCACAAACCACACCCCTGCCTGGTTGATATTGACCAATCAGGAACTATCAAATGGACCGGGAATAGAGCTCTTTAAAATGCCGGTACTTCCTGGTTCTCCGGTCTGAGAAGTTCTGAGATGTTCGCAGTTCTATGAAGTCGTTTGGGAGAACAGAAGTCCAGCCATGATAAGGCTCTTCCGAGTTTGGATTATAACATCTTCCACCTCTGAGTGGAACTTCTGAAGGACTCCACTCATGTGAAGTCCACTTGCTGAGGTGAGCTTGTGTCGGACGGAATCTCGTCACTACTTCGGACGAGTCACAGCCATCCTATGGAGACGCTGGACAGGTAGCGTTAACTGGAACTCCATATCTGCTGATTCATCTTCAGAGAGGTAATGAGTCAAGTTTACTACCAAGCGTACCGAGGAAAAGCTGGGTTCGAATGGAGAGTGTCGGTTCTGGTCAACACTCCCCCTCACACACCATCTTTTACTCCTTTTAAACTTCATTTCCATCTTTAAATTCTTCTCTCAAGTAGAAATCCTTCCAGATAATTTAGAAATGTCTGTGTAAAGTGCTCATCCACCGCCGTGTGGATAATTGATCATAATTGTACAGTTTTCATTAATGTCTGTGGTGAAGCAACGGAAAATCATGGCCGTATGGTTTTCCTGGTTGTAAAGCTGATTGATTATGTTGTTATTCTCATATTCTGCCAAATTAATGTAAATGTTGATGTTAAACTTTGATTCTGTAAAATAAATGACCACATTCATTTTGATGGGTCAAAGATAAATAACGTCTCACATTACATTTCATTAAATTCAATGCACGTTTTATTCAGTCCAGAAAAATGAAGAATCCGTTTTAATTGATGAATATATCTCAGCACCTGTTCATCTACATTGATGATGGATGAGCCGCACGATCCAGCATGGCATTCTTATTTAAAATACATTTTAAAGTATTTGTGCAGCCCATACTGCAGGATAAACTTCCTCCTGCAGCTGATCAGCTGTTCACCGTGCAGAGCAGAAAAGTGGGCGTGGCCAAGAGCGCTTGCTGGTGGCTGAGAGAAGCGGAGGCAGAGAGGGGGAAATCATGACATTCTGTGTTCTTTTAGTGTGTTTGGAGTTTAGAAACATTGTTTAGAATAATGTAAGAGTGTGGGAAGGGTTTAAAATGCCATATATATATATATATATATATATATATATATATATATATACTAAAATAAACTACTACTTGTACTACTATTCTTATTTTGTGGTTTTTCCTCTCATCTCGGGGTTTCAGGGTATGGATCCCCCGTGGTAAACGAGGGACCACTGTATGAAGATGCTGGTGTAAAGGACCAAATTATTAGTGTTGAATGTTAACTTTGAACACCAGAAGTAGCTCTTTAAGTATTTGAGCACAGTGCCTGACTTTACGCATTAAAAGCTGTAAAAAGGTCTATTCATTGTGTTACTCAGCCTGCTGCACTTTAGTTTGAAGAAAAAGACTAAAATTGTTAAGTCAAAATGCTTTTTGTATTAAATAACAGTAATTCCTTGGCTAAAAAAAAAAGAAAATGTAACCAATTGATTCCTTTCCAGCGGAGTAATCTATTACTGTTACTGTAATGTTCTTCGTCTTTTCCAGTTCTCCACCTGCCTAATCTCAGCTCCTCTTGTACGTCGCTCGTTTTCTCCTCTCCACCTCCCACCCCACCCTGTCGCCTCATCCCAGCATTCCTGCTGCTCCTCATATTCGTGCCTCTCCCTCTTGTGTACTCTTTCAGCTTGACACTGCGGAGACGGATCACAGTGCCGTCTTCTGCTCCTCGCAGGGAATCACAGTCGGCAGACAGAGATGAGGATAATCAGCAAAAACAGGCAACAAAAAGACATGATGGGAATCATAAATTAAGAGAAAAAAGTGACTCAGGGGTGAACAAGTCCAAAACAAAATAAAAAACCTTGAAGAAAAGCAGAGATATGTGCAGCTTTTAGTCGTCCGTCCTGTACCTGTTCTGTGGGATTAACAAGACTTAAAATTCAATCAGCCCGACGGAGGAGCGTCAGTGGAGGCAGACAGAGCGCTGCAGCTGTCGACACCGAGCGAAGGGAGTGTGTGGAGCGAAGAGGAGGAGAGGGGGGGATAGACAGAGAGAGATAGATGCAGGAGAGAGAGAGAGAGAGAGATGGGTGTTATTTTATTTATTTTTTAAACGAGGAGCTGAGATAGAGCGAGAGCCGCCGAGACGGAGAGATGTGACTGCTCCTGGAGTCGTGGTGGAATGATCCGGAAAACAAGGTTAGTAATTCCACCTTTTCATCACGGCACAAGGATGGTGGTGGGGTGTGTGTGTGTGTGTGTGTGTGTGTGTGGGGTGGGGGGGGTCGAAGACTGATGACAAGCAGACTTTAATGGGCAAGAATGGAAGTAGGAAAGTGAGCACAAGATATTTTTCAGGTTTGGGCAGAGTATATGTCTGAATGCAGCTGCTGGGAGGAGGTAAACGGACCCCCCCCCCCCCCCACACACACACACACAAAAAAAAGAAAAAAGATGCAAGAGAGAGCTTTGAAGCAAAAGGATAGAAATAGATTTTTTTAAGGCGTCTGCTTTTGGGGCTTGACTGACAGGCCAGAGCGGCTGGGTGGACTTCTGAACTGTGACATTTGTGGAGCTCATCAATAGCTCCGTTGTTTCATTAAGATGTGTGTTTGAAAGAGAAGCAGAGGCTCAGTGTGTGCGTGTGTGTGCACGCGCACAGTATCACTGCATGACTACTTACTGGATGTGGCGACGGCGGTTGTGGAGGTGTGTGAAAGTGTTGCACGATCATACGGTGTGTGTCGCCGAGTGCGTCTGTGCAGCAATAAGCCGTCGCCCGCTGAGGAGCGTTGAGGGTCTCACAGCTCCTGGTTCTGTTTGACAGACGGGTGAGAGGGAGCGAGGAGAGGCGGGAGATACAAATTAAGGGTGGCAAGGTGGAGTTGAGGGATGAGGGAGCAGGTCAGCTGGTTGGATGCGAGTGCACATATTTTTGTTTTTTTTTTACCAGATCACATGCACCCTGAACATTGGTGGTTTTTTTTACTAACGTGCGTCTCTTGTTTTAGGTTTTCCAGCTCATCGACGAGACAAACCTTCACTGCAGTCCAAGGTCATCAATAACTACATCAGAGTGGGAGAACACTGCGACGGCTGAGAAACGCTCGGAAAAGTCCAGGGATGGAGGAGAAAATGGAAGAGATAAAAATGAGAAGCATCCGGGAGAGGAGTGCCTCAGGTCAAAGGTTTGAGTCCAGTGCTGTCGTGAGGAAATCGCACCGAGATGCCAAACGTTGGATTTTAAACGAAGCGGATCCTTGGATTGTTTTCTTGTTCTAGACGTTGGAATACCGTGCTGGAATCCAGCGGGCGACTCGGGATTTTCCAGGTTTTCTTCATCTATAAGAGGATATCGTGGGATTGGAATTTCTTCAGCTCTCCGTTGACGCTGACCTACATCAGCCTTCGATTTTTTTTTTGATGTGTGGAGGAGTGTGTGACACGTGGATGGGAGTGGGACAGGTCCCAGCAGACAAAACAACCCACTCCCCCACCTTCCCAGTGCTGGGCTGACACACGCAGCAACACCTGAGGCCGAGCTCAAACACAAACACAAACACACACATCTACACACGCGCAGTGACCTAAACCTGGATAACATGTGGAGCTGATTCGGATTATAGAGGCGCACAGACGGAAGAGGTAAAGCTCGTGGACGTTCAGACGTGTAGCGTATTACGGTCCAGCAGAGTCGACCGTGTGTGCATTGTTAGCTCCCTCTCTCTTGTGCTGAATCACTGAGTTCATCACTGCGATGGGCTCAAACACAGAGCTGAGAGCTCGGAGCTCCGTCTCACACAAACACACCCGGGGCCTGTGAATAATGAACAAATGTGCATTCAGAGCAGAAAGCAGACGACACACACGAGCAGAATCAAATCTCCCGCACGGTTTAGACGCCTGAGTTTCCATCAGGCTCTTGTGAACCTTGCACTATGGTTTCTTTGAGGTTTAAACAAAACATTTGGAAAAAATGGAATTGCATTAAGCCAAACCGGAAGTAGACAAACCGGAAGTGGTGGGAGAAAAATGGAATTGCATTAAGCCAAACCGGAAGTAGTCAAACCGGAAGTGGTGGGAGAAAAATGGAATTGCATTTCCAAAAACAAAAAAAAAAGAACCCCACAAAAACAATTACGCTAAGCCAAACTAGAAGTGGTGAAAAAAAATAGAATTGCATTTCCAAAAACAACAAACAAAACAAAAAAAAACACAATTACATTAAGCCAAACTGGAAGTAGTCAAACCGGAAGTGGTGGGAGAAAAATGGAATTGCATTTCCAAAAACAAACAAAAAAATATATATTATATATATATATATATATATATATAATATATAACCACCAATATATATAATATATATATTATATAATAGTGGTCAAACCGGAAGTGGTGAAAAGATTGAATTACGTTTCAATAAATGCAATTACATTAAGCCAAAACCGGAAGTGGTGGGAACAGTGGGAAACATGAGACATCCTGATTGGATGACGGTGCGTTTGGCTTTTGAACCGGAAGTAACTCTGCCTGTTGCGCGGATTTGAACAATTGCGTAAAAAAAAAAAAAATTAATTCTGTTTTTTTCGCCACTTCCGGTTTGTCCACTTCCGGTTTGGCTTAATGTAATCGCATATTTTGAAATGTTGCCGTGCTTTATCAAATGTGATTTCGTTTTTTGAAACGTTGTTCGTTTAAACATCAGGGCCACCGTATAACACCCCTCTTCCTCCGTCTCCGTGTCAGCCAGCTGTCCTGGATCAGATTACTCAATAGGTGTGTCTCAGCTCGGCTTTCATCACCCGGCTTTTATGTAATCTCACCTGGCGGTGTGTGTGTGTGTGTGTGTGTGTGTGTGTGTGTGTGTGTGTGTGCAGCGCAGTGTGTGTTTATGTGGCGGCGGCAGAGAGCAGCTCCCTTCATCTGAGGCTCTTTACATAAGCTGCGTATAAGTGTGCACACAAACAGATTCGGCACACTGACACGAGATCAGAGTGACTGGATAGAGGAGGATAAGAGGGCGATGAGAAAGAAATGGATAGTGGGGGGGGGGGGGGGGGGCGGGAGGGGGAGGGGGAGGGGGGGGGGGGGGGGGGGGGAACGAGACAGTGATGAGGACTGAAGGCTAAGACAGTGGATGAAAGTATTGCAGAGAAAGAGTGAGAATCGTGAATGAAGCTTCACGTGATAAGAAAGAAATTAAGAGGAAAAAAGAGATTAGGAGGAGAGGGGGTGGGTGATGGAGGGCTAATGTCAAGAGAGGGATGAAAGAGAGCAAGAGAAACTCTGGGTGGTTTTATAGAAGAAAAAAACAACGGGGCTTGAAAAGCAAGAACATTTTTTTTGTTGGTTTTTTTTGCATAAACTGCAGGAGTTAGGAGTGTTACATGACTAACCGGCACTCGTTTCATGTGAAGGAAGGAATCATAGAAAGGTAGATAAAGAACAAATAATTAAAAATGACAGATGGCTATCAGTATGTTGCTTTTCTCCCCACCACACCACTGGCTACAATTAGTCTTACACGGCCTAAAAAAAACCTGAAAGATAACAGACAAAGCTATTTAAAGACAAAGCTAGGAGGGGTTTCAGCGTGCCATGGGGCTGCTGCTGCTAATAGACGTGCCAATTAAGAACGTAAAGAAAACTGAGATTATAATTAGCCAGAAAACAAAATATTCAGCTTAAAAACAAACAAAAACTAAAAGATTCGAGGCTCATCGTTTGCTCAGTTGATCGTTTAAGACGGGTTGATTCTCCCTTTGAACCGGAGCGGCACCGACTCCGAAGAGGTGATAACAGGAATCTTTTGAAGTGCAACAAAGAGGCCTTTTGATTTCCTTTAACCAAATCATAATTCCATAATAGGCTTTGCTCCTCTGCTAATGAGAACACCAAGAATACAGAGCAGGTAAGTGTCATCTGGTGAAACAATGAAACTAAAAATAGGAAGAAAAAAAAAAAAAGGAGCATTAAAAGAACATTTTCTCAATTAGCTCACGGATGCACCGAGTGTCTCATTGTTACTGAGGGTGTCTGTCAGTCTGGGGGTGCAGTAACGGGAGATGAACAGATGGGATGCCCACTGTTCGAAGCAGGAGCTCTGCCAAAGTGAGCAGACTGGTGGGTGAATGGAAGCACGGAGGGAAAGAAAAAAATGGAAGGCGTGACAACAGACGAGTGCTGAAAACTATTCAGTTATGAAAGGCGATCCCCAATAAGGAAACAAATAAATAGCAGTGATTGAGTTTTGCAGAGTGCATAAGTTGACTTTGATTTAAAGGGAAAATCTGATGTTTGAAGTGATGTTTCTCAGACGGTTATCAATAGTTCCTATCTCATCAGTTTTGAAAATAGAGCATAGAGGAAATGGAAAAGGTCATAGTGCCCAAAGATGGTCCTGAAGGGCCACTATCCTGCAGGTTTTAGTTGATTCTCCGTTTCTGCACACCTGATTTGAATAAATTATGAACAACAGGCTTCTGCAGAACTTAGAGATCTGCAGAAAAGCAGGGGAACATCTGATTATGTGCAGGATAGAATCCCTCCAAGACCAGGATTGGGCACCACTGATAGGCTATGCTAATAGCTACCCTACTATACCACTTTATTTATAAAGCACTTAAAATAGCAACAGGGCCAACCAAAGTGCTGTACAACAAAAAACAAGCCAAGGACACAGGATAAAATACATAAATCCACAGAGGTAAATATAAGAACTAAATGACTAACGTTGCAAAATACAGATAAGTTAAAATCAAATCACACAGCGTAGAAAAAGCCAGGGAATAAAAGTGAGTTCTCCAACGAGGCTTAAAAACAGTGAGAGGGAGCCTGTCTGACATGTAGTGGTAACTCATTCCACAGTTTTGGACCTGCAGCAGAGAAAGCCTCGTCACCTCTGAGCTTAAAACAAGTGCCTGGAACCAATAAAAGCATCTGGTCTGCTGACCTCAGAGAGCACTGTGGGACATATGGCTGCAACAGATCAGTGAGATAAGAGGGGGCAGAACTGTTCAGAGATTTAAAAACACATATAGAAGGATTTTGAAATAAATTTGAAAATGAACTGGGAGCCAGTGAAGGGAGGCCAGAACTGGAGTAATGTGTTCTCTTTTGCCTGTACCAGTTAAGAATCGGGCTGCAACATTTTGAACCCAAATGCTAGCTAGCCAAACCAAAGCTTATTTTATGAATTTATTTAATTTTTACACCGTTTCCTCCAAAACGACATACCTGCACGAAAGACTGCTACCTCAGCCAATATTAAATCGCTACACTTTTAGCATGACGTTGTTTTTTTTCAACCAAACGACGTCGGTGTTGCCGTTCATCTGGTTTCCTCAGCTCCGGACAGACCGACGTATTCAGCAGACGTTCAGTTGAGAAAGCAGCGACAAACTAATCCGCGCCGTTCAAAAACGTAGAGTTTAATATTAGCTAGCGTAGCATTCTTTAACACTTGTACGTTTCTTTCGGCTGCTCCCTTCAACAGGGGTCGCCACAGCAAGAGATCTCAAATGAAAGATTTGGCAAATGTTTGACGCCGAACGCCCTTCCTGACGCAACCTGGGCTCGAATCCGCAACTTCAGGATTACAAAACTGTGGCACTGACTGCCGAGCTACCACAGCCACATTCCCACTGGTGTGACATTTTGGAAATTGAATTGTTTCAGAATCCTAAACAAATAAATAAGGGCTCCAGTTTGGCTAGCTGTTAGCACTGGTACCATTTTCTCTACACTCTGTGAGCTGACTGATGTCACGGCTGATCCGGTACAAATTACTGATAACTATCAGAAACAACATCGTCTATAAAGTCTGATCCTTTAAGTATAAGGATCTGCGATGGGAAAATGGCCCAGGTGGCGCTGTAGTCATCACTGACCATTTTGTATCGTGATCATACAACTACGGGCAGCAGGAGGCAGAGCGGTCATCTGCCAATCAAAGAGTTGGTTGTTTGATTCTGATTACCCCCGTCATGTGCACAAGAGTCCTTGGGCAGGACAACAAACCCCAGCGTATCCCTGATGCGGAAACTGGTGTATGTGTGAGTGAATGTGACATGGAGTAAAGGAGCTTTGAGATATCACTGGAGAAGTGCAAGATGAGTGCTTTTCATTTACGATTATCTACATTAGAGTACTTTATAATGTGCAAAATGGTACTTTGAGGAAGGTAAATACACAAAGCCTAAATTAGTTATTACTAATATGAAGGTATTACTGATTTTTTCTGTGTGCATGACTTCGATGTGCAAGAGATTATTTTTTACATTTTAAAATGTGTTAAATATGCAAAAATGTGCAATTACAAACTGAAATGAGTCGTCAGTACGTTTCTACTGCACAAATGTATTATCACTGATATTACCATGTAATATCTTTATATTTTGTAGTAAAGGTAATTTACTTGGTCACATATTCTTCCCCTCGCCAGTTGACAATCATCTGCGCTGAAATACCTGACTAGATTAGATTTGCAAAATGTACATAAATGCATTAAAGGAAGTGATTGCAAGCTTGTTCTACATAAGAAGCTGTGCAGAGGTCGACGTCTTTGTACTGATGGAAAACCTTTATCATGAGTTTAACACCTGCTGTACAGTCAGCTGTAGAATACAAATAAATCAAATATTTAA